TCTCCAGTTTTAAAAATGTCAAATAGCATAATGTTAATGCCATCTTTGAAGGTGGCGGAGCCACTTGCTAGAGGTTGGAGTGGTTTTCACAAGGAAGCTAAGATTGAGTATTAATTTAGAAGAGCCTGAATGTCCCAGAAAGAAGGACAGGGTGGAAGAGAAGAGATGTAAATAACAGTGAGAAGTGGCCCAGCCAAGGCAGTCTACAGATACCACCTGAGGATCAGGATTTTAGTTTGTATCTGGCAGAGCCAGTCCAAGCTATCAAAGAGCAAAAAAAGTATCTGGTAAAGTCCAATTTGGTAATAATTTGCAGCAAGTCTAGTTGGGAAGACACTACAGAATACCCAGTGAAGAAGTAATAAGTCATGGGATACAAAGTACATCACGTTATTGCTAGGTAATAAAAAAGAGAAAATAAATTTTTAAAGATGCAAGCATGTTGTAAAATAGTCACTTCACTTTCTGATTGTTACAAAGGCTCTCAGATGTATGAATGGGTGACTAAAAAAGCAACAGGGCCATTTCAAAAATACAAACGAGCTTCGGAGGGACGAGGTGGCTTTGTAGGTGTTTGCTTTCAAGACAATTCCAAGGAAAAGCCGACTTCAGGTTTCACTCCTCGTATTCCTGTTATTATTAGCATTGTTGGGGAGGTGGAGCTGGGGATTCTCTATAAGCCTCAAGTGTAGCATGCCATTAATGTTAATATTTGTATTATATTAATGCATATTATAGTTTAATATTAAAATGCCTCAGTCCTGGAAAGCTTTGGCTAGAACTGGAAGGAGGTCAGATCTGAGTGGAATGACAGGGCAGGAAAGCACCAAACCCTGAGAACAGCTATTATAGAGTAAATAGGAACAATGGGACCGTTTCTGGGAGAAGATCTGGAAGCACTTCGTGAGCCTCTTGCCACCTCACTTTCAAGAACAAGCCCTTTTCCTATACCTCAGTTTGATCAGAGTAAAAGAAATTGCCTGGCCTGGAGAGAAAAAATCTGTGAAGGGTCAGAAGTCGAACCCTTAGTACATGGTGAGCCTTTCCCTCATTCTGTTGAACTTTTTGCTTGAAAGCTGCTTGGTGATCACAGACAACTGACAAGGGGTGGATAAACAGGAAGCATTCTATCTGTCCCACTCACAGCCCAGCATGGCGTCTGACCTTACATTTGAGTTCTGTCTCATCTTTAAAGTATTCATGTCCACTGTAAAGCATTCTTTCCCTATAGAAGGAGAGGAAATCTTCAGACCACATTCTTTCTTTTCTGAATTCCTTTTGGTACTGAAGTTGTGTGGTCACCAAATGTCACCACTGCCTATGGAACTCCAAGAGAGCTTGTTTGATTACAGTTGGGACACTCACCCACAGAGACTCTGCTTTACTGTGTCAGCAGTGAGGCCTGGGGACCCAGAATGCTGACAAGCCCTGCTGAGGCTCCAAAGCAAATCCAAGTGACTGACCCATCTGATTGGGCAGGCAGGCAAAGCTCTACACCCCATACCCACCATAGCAGAAATGGCTCTTCCTGTGACTGTTCTGTTTTCTCTTCTGCCAAAGACTTGTTTGAGCACAGATATTTGGTGCCTTACAAGAATCAGTCAACTATTTTTCTAAGTCAACCTTGACCTTTTGACGAGCACTATTTTCTAATAAGGCCATAAGATTGGAAGTCATCATTAAGTCATCACCACATTTATTAAGTCAGTAATTATGTCTTGCTCGAACCACAGAGAACAAGGAATTAAGGCCTCAGTGGTAATATTCTAACGGGTTGGGGTGGGGTTGGATGGAAAGAGATATCAAAGAAGCGAGTCAAGTCATTTCACATGGTTATTAGCACTGTGAAGAAAAACAGAACAGCAGCGTGCAGTGAGAGGATCGCAAGAAGCAAGGCTCAGAAGGGGTGATGAGGAAAAGCTTCATTAGAGGAACTTCCTGACAAGTAAATGATGAAGAAGCCGCTGTGTGTCTGCCAGAAGCCTGGGTGTGTAGTTCAAGTCACCAAAGGATTGCACAATGGGAAGCAGCAGTGAGGTGGACAGTTGGGCAGCGGTACTCAGAGAAACGACGAAGACGGCTCAGGCACCATTCCTGTACGTGACGCGCAGAGGGCTTCTACTACAGATGAGGTGGCTAAGGAGCTGAGCTCACTGCATGTTGATTACGACAGGTAGTGCTAAGAAGAGTAGAGATGCAGCGTCTGAATTAGGAGCCAGAGTCGCCAAGACACGAAGCAGAGAGCCGTGGCAAGATAAGGGTGAAGAGACTCCACAGAACCCGCGTTTCACAGGAGCAGAGGTCTCTCTGGGAGCTAACCTGGAAGCAGATTGGACAGGAGGGGAATAGCCCCTTACTTCTTGGCCCAAGGGACACTTGGCTCCAGACAATGAAGTTTCAATTGCTTGAGGAAGGGTAAAGTGAGCACAATATGGGAATCTAATAAGAGAAAATTATAAGAAAAAATTCTAGAATTCTGAAAATGGAAGGGGAATTTGATGATGACGGAGGTCTAGAAGGCACAGCAGACGCCTGATTTTCTTTTTGTTTGGGTTTATTTGTGAGGCAAGAATTTGTAACTAATTAAGTCACATACAGAGACACACAAATCACAGTGTAGAGAGTAATGAACAACTGAGGAAACTTGAAATTCATTTTACCATGGTGATAAAATAATGTTACTACTTTTCCTGAAGTAACAATAATTACAATTTTTATTTGTAGTGATAATAGAGGCGTTAGTGATATACATAATCATGGCAGCTTGTTCCAGTCCTGTGGGAGACCAGCTCCCACTTTTTCTCTAGGGTACTCTTGAGGAGAGAAAGATAAGAGATTGAGATAGAAATATAGAGGAGAGAGAGACAGAAACACTGGATAGCCTCTGGAGAGTCTGGATCATTATCCACTGACCCCTTCTGTCTCTTCTAAATGGCTATTTATAAGAATGCCAAGGGGTGGAGCAAAGACCTTCCCCTAGCTCAGCTAGGTGTAGACCCTTCCAGTCACCTAGTAACAATGCACATGGTTAAGCAATCCTCTAATGCAGCCTCGCTGGGTAAAACAAGCTCAGATCTCTCTAGGAAACTTCTGTGGGCCTCCACACATCCTGTGTGAAGTATTTCTCATGCACATCTGCCAATAACTGTGTGATCTTTCAAACATACAGAAAAGTCATATATAATTGATGACAACTTTATGGACCATAAATCATTGATCAGAACAAAGAAGGAACTGGGGCTTTGAAGAATCCTGGCAATCTCTGGGAAAGAGAGCAGATAAATAGCTTTAGAGTTGAGACCTCAACTAGGTGGCTTAGCAATTTAGACGATTTGAGGCAGTTCTTCCATGAGGCTACACAGCTGGTTTGTGATAATTACAGATACTTCACAAACTCTTCTTGGCCATCTTATGTTTAAGTTGGTGGAGGCCCACTCTGTCTGAAGGTGGCTCCAGTAATTGTTTCTTTGTCCTTTTACTCAATTAGTAGAAAATTCTTAATTGTCTTTGAAGATTGAAGTCCATTCATCTGCAATATTTGAGGGCAACTACCATCAGCTATAGACCATTGTAGACACAAGAGATATAAATAATAAATCTTAAGGAGTCTTCCCACTTCATCTACCTGCACTCTGACTGTGCTATGCAGTACCTTCTCAATACATCATTTATTTGTAAATTTCCCAATAACACATTGAAGACCCTAAACATTTATCACCTCTCTCTTCCAAGTCTAAGTGAAATCATGCCCACTCTCTGTTCACAGCCCTCCAATAGCTCCTCAGCTTACTCAGAGTAAAAGCCAATATCTTTAAGAGGTTTGTTCTTATTAGAAATGCCACGCATAAATCCCAAGTTCCATGGCTTCCCTATCCCAGCCAATGCAAGTTAGAGGAAGGAAATAATCAAAAGATAACCACTTAGAAAGTGGGCTAGTAAGTCAGGCAAGGGGAATAATAGCTCAATCTACTTTTAATGTAATTTTACACAATAAGACATCAAAGATATCATTCTGGATTGCTGTGGATATCACTCTATATAAATAAACACTGGCCAGTAGCCAGACAGGAAGTATAGGCAGGACTAACAGAGAGGAGAATGGAGGGAACAGGAAGGCAGAGGGAGAGACTGCTGGAGCTGCCGCCAGGACAAGGAAGATGTAAGGTACCAATAAGCCATGAGCCACATGGCAAACTATAGATTAATAGAAATGGACTAGACAATGATAGGCCTGAGATAATGGCTGAGCAGTTTAAATAATATAAGAGTCTGTGTGTTTATTTTATAAGTGGGCTCCAGGACTGGCGGGACTTGGCGGAAGCTGGAGAGAAATTCTCCAGCTACACTGGATTCTTAACTCTTTTTTCAAGTCAGGAAGATGGACAGTCTTATACATGAATAAAAGTATATGATATTGTGACTATAACTCACATTGTCATGATAAGTGAATTGAAAATAAAATGTTTTTCAAATAAACAAATACATTACTTTTGGTAAATGCTGATGAAACTGAAATATTTGTTAGGGTTTGATAATTAGTCTTGTTACAATTTTTAAGTTGTAGTTTATGAATTTGAACTTTTCTATATATTACTAAGTACCTGCCCCTAAAACAACAAAAGATTGCTGTCTAAATATAGCTCTGGGTTGCATGTCCATTCAGTAATACTACTTGGAAATAGTGGACTTGGTGAATCACTAAGGCACAGAATGACTGAGGTTTATTTCATTGCATTACAGGCAAAATCAAGACAGAACTTTCAGGGCCCTTTCTTCTCTGTCTTAAGGATACTAATTTTTGGTTTCTATTGCTGGATTTCTGTGGGAAAAAAATCTTACTATAAAATGTATATTCAGCCTGCCTCGCTAAATTGTTTCTCCCAGCTTATACTTAGGATGCTCTTCTCTGTAACATCTAAAAACAAATATGCAAAGTTCTTTATCTACTATCCACACACTTCTGAATGTGCATCTAATATGTCTTTTTCCTGTTTTAACAGAACTCCGAGGTACACATGCCTGAGGACCTAAACAAGAAAACAGGAAATCCAATCAACTTGGGGAGACCCACTAGGGTTTTAAAGAAAAGCAGCTATTCACTGGGAGAGAACAGAGCTCCCCAGTCATCAACAGATAACTCAATAGGAACACATCAAGGAGCTGAGCCCATTGAAACAAACTGGCCACTGGTCACTCAGCCCTTAAACACAAGTTCAGTCCAAGGCCACAGATGGCAGAAAGCAGGTGCAACCCAAGAGAAACGTAGATCTTTCCTTCATGAGTTTTGCAAGAAATATGGTGGAGTAAATGATCCCCAGTCCAACATATTTCGAATGGTATCCAGGATCTATGTAGAAGACAAACACAAAATCCTGTACTGTGAAGTACCAAAGGCTGGCTGCTCTAATTGGAAAAGGGTTCTGATGGTCCTAAATGGATTGGCTTCCTCTGTGTACAATATTTCTCATGGTACTGTGCACTATGGGAAGCATCTGAAGACATTAAATAGCTTTGACTTAAAAGGAATATACATGCGTTTGAATACCTATACCAAAGTTGTATTTGTTCGAGATCCCATGGAAAGATTAGTGTCAGCATTTAGAGATAAATTCGAGCATCCCAATAGTTACTACCATCCAGTATTTGGGAAGGCAATTATAAAGAAATACCGACCAAATGTCTATGCGGAAACATTAAATAATGGATCTGGAGTGAAATTCAAAGAATTCGTCTACTATTTGCTGGATGCTCACCGTCCAGTGGGAATGGATATCCACTGGGAAAGGGTCAGCAAACTGTGCTATCCATGTTTGATCAACTACAACTTTGTAGGGAAGTTTGAGTCGTTAGAAGAAGATGCCAATTACTTTCTCCAGCTGATTGGTGCTCCAAAGGAGCTGAAATTTCCAGACTTTAAGGATAGGCACTCCTCTGATGAAAGAACCAGTGCTCAAGTGGTAAGGCGGTATTTAAAGGACCTGAGCAGAGCGGAGAGACAGCTCCTCTATGACTTTTACCACTTGGACTATTTGATGTTTAATTACACAACTCCACATTTGTAATTTGCATTCATTTTCTAAAGCCCTGAATTGACTTAATGATGATGGCCTGAAATCAACTACTGTAATTTTCCTACAATTCTCTGTATGGGGGAAATTTAACTAAGTGAAGTTGTCTTGATTGAATGAAGTTTTTTTTTTTTTTTTTTTTTTTTTTTTCTAAACCAAAGAGTATGACAGCAATTGGCACAAAGTTATTGGAAAATCATCTCAAGGAGACATGTAAACAACTTGATGTGCTTTTAAATGTTGGAGAAAGAGCTGTTTTGGCATTGTGACTTATACCATGGAAGCAATAATCTAGCCAGCTGTTACATTAACCAAGAAAGCCTCTTGCATGTAAAATAAGGGGGTCAAAAATGGAGAGAACTATGTATCCAAATCCTGGCATCTATCATCTACCATGCTTGAATCTATTCTTAGCAGTCTATGGCACATGCATCAGATGACTGGGTGGTGTTCTTACTCCTGAATATCCCTATCTACTGTGATGATGAATCCATTGTGAGATGTTTGGGCATAGGCATTTTACTATCAATCTGGAGGCATTCCGTGATTTACAATATAACAATAGAGCAGAAAAACAGATGAAGCTCTGGCTTTTTTTTTTTAACAGCCAGTAAAAATGCACAACATGCTAAGATCAAAACAACAAAAGCCACCTTTCTCTTCCAGGAAAAGCTTCAGGGGATTGATTTGCTTTCTTTTCATTTTTGCAGGGTGGGGGGAGGAAGGAGGTTGAGCCCCCCATGAAGAGACAAATGAGCACAACCAAGCAGGTCCTCATTTCTAAACATCATCAGATAGAAATGTGCTCTTAATTCTGCCTTAATTGGAAAGGGGGCAATTGTTTCAGGATGGAATAATCATCAAAACCAAAAGTTGCCGTTCTGAATATAGAGCTCTAACAATAACAGTTTTATAAGAATCTTACTTGAATCAAAGCTCCATGTGCAGCGTTTTCTGTGCGGAATGCACTCTAAGAATAGCTTTGGTTTGCAGTCTAATTATTCAACTTGGGAATAACTTTTTAAGAACTAATATACCACTTCAAAGACAGGTTATGTTCTAGAGAATAAACATAACAAGAGCCCCTAGAAATGTTTTTAATAGGCTTATGCATAAGCAAATTAAGGTATTTTCTTCTTAAGTTTAAATACTCTATACTAACAAAGTCAAATGCCATTGCATTCAAATATTAAATCAAAGTCTTTGGAAAATAGGACCATGTGTCACCCTTATGAAAAGTTGTAATGTACTTTAGGAATTTTTTCCAAGGGTTCTTAAATTTAAAGACACATTCAGATGAGAAGTACATTTTAATTAGTTAACTACTGCCCTGACTTAAGCAAACCACATGTCAATCAAATCCTGTGGAAATGTTTTTCTTAAATATGTTTCTCTTCCTACGCTATCGTTTTTTGATCAGTAAATATTCAGCTGTCTTGCAAAGAAAGCTAGGTCTTAATATTTGAATATTAATAGACCGAGATCCTTATAGTCATACGTGTCTCATTTTGATTTTCCATTTCATGGCTGAGTATTCATAAATTGCTTCACTCTGCACACACCCGCCCTATCTCCTCCACATCTCACATGAGTGGGTGAACTGCAGTGAGGCCACATCAGCAGCAGTATTCAGCTCTGCACACCAACCTTTGCCCACTTTCCAGCCCACTTCTTTATGCCTCTAGACCATCCCCTTAGCCGAGTAATCTAAATTATATAAATTAAAGTCTTCAGTACTGGGTACAGTGGATTCCTAGCAACTTAGAGACCTTGAAATTACCTTTTTCTGAGAAAGAGAAAAGAGAAACGTCTATTCTCACAACACTCAAAGCTCATTTTAGACAGCGCCTGCTACAAAAGCAGCATTCCTAAGTGGAAATAAGAAATAATGAAAACACCAAAAATATATTTTTAAACCTTCCCCCCACACACACACACTTTCATAGCTCTGGAAAGGAAAAATGAAAATACTCTCTGGTATTAGCATTTCTCATACACTGGGGGAGCGGACATATTTGTATGCCCTGTTTAAACAGACACAAGACCTTTACCGGTGGAGAAGTGAGAGAGAAGGATAATGTGGTGTTCTCCCCAATAGCCACTCTGTGACTTTTGCTGTGACAATGATGCCACCATGCCAGGTTTCACGTTTTGGAGTCCCAACTACCAACCCTCTTCCTCTGCGGTGTGAAAATACTAAATGGAAACTTTCAGAAATAAACAACACATATGTTTTAAATTGTGCAACATTCTAAGATGTAACTTCTCACTTCCCCTCTATTGAACCTGAAATCTCAATCCACCTTTAACCAGTGTGCCCACGCTGTTCATGCTCCTCCCAGGGGAGCCGTTGCGGTTATCACCTTGGCTTTCTTGGGACGACAGTGTTTGTGTTGAAGTGCCTTCATGTGATAGTCTCGTGTTACTTCACAAACCTGTATCATTGACCTCACTTCATCTCATGGGGCAAGTATTTCATCATTTCCCATTATTAGAAGGTGAGTGCATTCGAACAGGGTGTTTTAAGAATGAGAGTGAGTGATAACACGTTGCCATACATTTTATTACAGTGTATTTTCATGAGTGTTTTCTTTTTATTAGTTATTCTTAATCTCTTACTGTGTCTAATTTATAAATTAAATTTCACCATAGGTGTGTATGCATGAAGAGGAAAACAGTAACCTGTATAGAGTTGGGTACTCCCTGTACCCTCAAGCATCCACAGGGGAGTCCGGAGCACACCCGCCATGGATAAGAGGAGACAGCTCCACTTGCCATTTTCTGACTTTTTCTGCCTACATAACTAATGGTCACTCTTCATCCCTTTCTCAGATAGACTCCAAGGCTGACACCATGCACACTCGTCCATTCAACAGACGGCTTTGACCTTTCTCACCAAAAAATAACCTTCTACACACCCTCTCCTTTAGATGACTTTGTCAGAGCCAACGAAGTCAGTCACCATCCTAGACCTGTTGTTGTATTTAAAAATCTGCTTCATCCGTCTACCTCAAACTGTCCTCCTTTGTGGGCCAACTCAAGTTCATATTCATAGTACCTGCTTGGGTACATATATCCATGTGGTTGCACCACTGGACAAACAATTTCATGAATGGAAAGGCAAGGGAACTAGTCCAGACTCAACCTTGCAGATGCCCAACTTTCCCATTTTAAGATCAGTTCACTTGAGATGTGATTACACATCCTCTGAAGAAGCCCTCAAGTACCAAATAGTTTAATAGTGGGCAGTAGCTTAGGGAGACTCTTCATTCTTCTATTCCTGTCTGGAATTCCTATAAGATAACAAGTTGGAAATGAATCTGAAACCACAGTTACTTAACTGGAAACCACCTATGCATAGGCACGATTTCTGTGATTGCCCCCAGAGACTGCCACAACCTGTAACGGGGTGTTTATCTACAAAATACCCAATTTTCTGATTTCCTCATGTGTGTTTGGAAATTCCCACCAAGTCAATGGAAATGTGAGGCCTCATGCTGTCTTCTCCAATATTCCCCAGCACTTCAAGGACTACTTGGCTGACCTTCGTAAATAGAAAGAGGAGGAAAATCTTGCATTTTGTGAGAACTTGTTCTCTATCTTTTAAAACAAATAGTATGTAGCGAAGAGCCCCATATAAGCAGATACATAGAATTTTAAATATCAGAGCAGCTTTGATGTGTATCTGGAGGAGTTATCCGAATTGGGGACAAATAGGCTGGGTGGTAGTGAGCATCCCCCTGCTGTGACCTCTCATTTGGCGTCTTGGGCATCTTCAGTCCTGGGCCTCCCTGGCATGTGGAGCAGCAGAGCCTTGCCTGCAGCCAACATCCTCAATGTGTTCTACGATTTCAGAAAATACTAATCAGTAGACTTTACCCACCTGGGAACTTCAGACCAAAGTAAACTCAGTTTAATCCTACCTGAAGGAAAATTCCTCCTCAATTATAATTACTAACAGTATCATTATCATACAGAACATGTTTCCATATTTACTGTGCATCAGGCACTCTTTAAAAACTTGCCATATATTCATCAATTTAATTCCCCCAGCCAATCTTGCTTCAGTGCTGGTGTAAGCAGCCCCTTTCCTTCCCACATGTAAGAGAACTAGAAGCAAAGTGCTCGGGTGAGTTGTCAGAGAGGACACAGCTGGTAATCCACAGGGAGCCGGAGAGCCCCACTAACAAACTTATTTTTAGACTAAAAAGTGAAAAGTACATAATATAATCTTAAAGTGTTTTTGAGACAGTCTCCCACTATGTAACGCTATCAGTCCTGACCCTCTCTGCAGACCAGACTGGCCTCAAACTCATAGAGATCAGTGTGCCTGTGCCTCCAAAGTGCTGGGAATAAAGGTGTGTACCACCACACTTAAAAGAGAATATTTTGGATATGGTCATGTATTTAGCTAGATGGGTATTGCATTTCATGTTCCATGATTTAGGAAGAAATTAGTCTTTAGGTGTCTGTTGTACTCCTTAGCTGCACTTGCTCAAGAAACAGTATTTTTGCAAGAGTAGAAGAGTCCACGGCACAAGTTTAGCCTAATAAAAACACTTGACCAAGAGAGTCTGGTCAGAGTAGACGACTGCCAGGTGAAATGACCAAAAAACAGCAGTGTATAGAGATGATGTCATCAAATTGTGTGCTCAGCGTTCCCTAGGACCCAGTGAGGAAGTTGAGGCCAACTGGAGTTCCCAGTTGAGCTTTCTCTCCATGGCTGGACTCTTGGCTTCACATTCCCATGGCAGGCACTTTTGTATCATAGATGGATAGGCAATAGTAACGTCTGTTGGGATGGGAAGCCTTCTGCCCTGTTCTCAAGGGCACAGTGTTTTCCTTTAGGACTATTTGCTGTTGTCTTCCTTGCCTGGCATAGAATGGGTAGTGGGCAGCCCATCCCCAGACAAAGGGCCTTTGGAGGATACCATGAGACGAACACACTTGAATCTGAAACTGGGGGCAACTCAACTTCCAGACTCTGCTTCTCAGTGAACTCAAACCGCACAAGACAACTTAAAATATAGTATACATTATGTCTTAGTTAGGGTTTCCATTGCTGTGAAGAGACACCATGACCACGATAATTCTTATAAAGAAAAACATTTAATTAGGGCTGGCTTACAGTTCAGAGGTTTAGTTCTTTACTGTCAGAACGAGAAGTCTGGGGGGCACAGGCAGACATAGTACTAGGGAGGTACCTGAGAGCTCTACATCTGGATGGGCAGGCAGCAGGAAGAGAGAGTGACACTGGGCCTGACTCCCCAGTGACACACTTCCCCCAACAAGGCCACACCTACTCCAACAAGGCCACACCTCCCAATAGTGCCGCTCCCTTTGACCTATGGGGGCCATTTTCATTCACACCACCACACATTATAATCCTGAAGAAGGTTACAGCTCAGAGAGAATCATGGTGAAACCTCCTAGGCTTCTGTCAGAAATGAGGCAATGATTCTTTGTCTGAGTTAATCTCCAGAATCATCTAAGCATCAGATAAACCTAGATGCAGGAAGATTACAGAAGAGAGTCTGAGAAAAGGTTTGTGCAAATACCCCCGCCCCCCCCCTCCCGCCCCGAGGTAGAACGTGAAGGCTTTTCCTGTGAAGCACAGTGCTGAAGAGTGGAATCGGGGAGTTCAACAGAACGTCCCACTGCTCGGTTCTCACAGCTGCTGAGTTCCTCGCTGGCCTCTCTCTTCTTCCCCAAGACCCTACCCTTCTATGCCTATCTATTCAAATCCGTGTCGTCCCTCCTCCCTTCCCATCCCTGAGTCTCAGCCAGAGTTTCACAGCTGTTCATAATGCTCTCCTCTCTACGTGGCTATACATAGGACCGCTATACATTACGGTCATCGTAACTCCCCGAGGAATCTCTTTAGGTCATTTTCAAATGCCATCTTATCGTAGACAATCAATCAGATCCATGGGAAAAGGCAAAATTATTCTTGCTTCACATGACATGCATCAGATCTTCCTAGAGTTAATGCAAACACACATCCCCCCAGCACTGTTATCTGCTTGCTTGTTGCTTGCACCGCCTCTTACGGATACACAATTGCTGTTGTCAGGGCTGGCTAGACGGCTCAGCAGCTAAGGACCTGGATTTGGGTCCCAGCACACACGTGATGGCTCACAACTATCTGTCACTGCAGTTCCAGGAGCTCCAAAACACACATTCATCCTCCTCGTGAACTTCATACACACCAAGCACACCTACACACATGCAGGCCTAAAATAAATAACTATTTTTAAAGCTTGAAATCTCTGTCATCATTGGAATGTATCTTAGCTTTTCCAAGATCCATGGACTGTGTCCTTTTCAAGCCGAAGAGATGACGTGTGTGTGCATTTGGTTACTCTGCCCTGGGTCTATCAGAGCAGGGCATGGCCAGCCACTCTGAGAACGCTTCGGTGCCAAGAGAAAAGGCATTTCTCTTCGTGTTTATACTTACTTATGGTTTCCAGACACTTGGAAGACTGGTGGACCTAGACGGAAGAGTTAAGTCAGAGGAACTAAAGGGAGGGATCCTGGTGTTTTAGCTCTTTAAATTCTACTCATTGCAAAGAAGTCTCACTTCACCTTCAGAGAACCACAATTGCTCAAAACCCATGAGCTGGATCCAGAGGGGCAGCTCAGTTAAATGAAGAACTTGCCACACCAGGGTTAGGACCAGGATTCAGATCCTCAGCACCCGCACAAAAGCAAGCAGGCTTGGTGGCCCCCTCAGGAGGTGGAGACAGGAGGTTCCCAGGACAGACAGGCTAGCTAGACCAGCTCTGTTCAGCAATATACTCTTTCTCAGTAAGTAGAAAATAAGTGAACAAAAAAGACAATGTCAATATCACACATGAGCCCATACATGGCTATAGCCACTCTGGACTCTATGGGAGCTGGCATGCGAATCTGTAAGCAACTTGCTGATGTTTCTCTGTTGAATTCTTATATGGGTAGAATCCTCAGTGCCAGCAGGAAGCAAGTCACTTTTGCTTCATCAGCAAAAGGGATAGAAAGAGTGGAGGCCATGGACAGCTGAAAGGCCATATGATCTCTTTTCCTTGGTGGAAATAGTCTGGGGGTGGGGAGGAGTCAGGAAGGGCGAGGCACCCAAAGGAGAGTCAGAACCTTGAGGAAACGTTTCCACCAGGTATGTGAGGCTCTAGTTGTGCTATACATGTGCCCTTCGCTGTAAAATCAAGTGAGTCGGCCATTTGTAGATGTCCATGATTTTCTTT